TTCCCACTGTTTTTTTTTTTTTTTTTTTTTTTTTTTTTGGTGGTACCAGGGATGGAACTCAGGACCTTGCGCTTGCCAGGCAAGCACTTATTCCACTGAACTCTCTCTCCGGCCCAATGCACGGGTTTCAAAAGAAGCTGATACAAGGAGGGTTAATTGCTTCTAATGGCTGTGATGATCCCATGAAACATCTTCAGAAATACCTGAGTGGTACTCTTCCTCTTCATATCTAGGATAGTGATAAAGCAAAGATGCATACAAGTACTTTCATCAAGTTTTAGTTTTAGTTTTTTGAATAATCTGCTGTAAGACTTGCTGTTGACTTTACAACCTTGTCTGGAGAGATTGGAGACCGTGCTGACCCAAGTGCGACACCTGGAGAGTTATGGAGGAAAGTGTGACCAACACAAGAGGAGCACAGCTGGGCCGTTGCTGTTCCTCAGACTTTGAACCAAGACCCATAATTGGGTCATCAAGTCCGTGTAGTAGAAGCATACTATAGTATGTAATAAGGACAAGTTTTGTGCATAAAACTTTTGTTTATTATGAGTAGGTACAGGGCCATAATTTAAAGTATAGGAAATGGGAGGATCACTACAAGTCCAAGCTGTGTGGTGAAACCCTGTACCTATTACACACAAAAAAATTTTTAAGTATAGGTTTTACTGTGGTTTATAGTCATATCTGAACTTCACAGATTTAAATATTTATTTCTAATTATTACATATAAAGTAATGTGTAGGTCACCAGAAAGCAAGGGGGTAAGATAGAATGAGCTCTGAAATTGGAAATTTGGAAAACTGGGCTTTATTGCTTTTCAAATGATTTACTTTTTTCTTTCTCTTTAATTGATTTACAGTCATTTAATGTCCAGAGAGATTTTAAAAGAAATTATAGGGGCCAGGGAGATGGCTCAGTGGAATAAGCAATTGCCTGGCAAGTGCAATGGCCTGAATTCAATCCCCAGTTCTGCAAAAAAAAAAAAAAAAAAAAAAGAAAGAAAGAAAGAAATTATACTAGATTGTCTCCAAGTTTCTTTCCACTCCAAAATTTCTGTGAGTTTCTGAACTCATAAGACCAAGTTGAGGGCTGGTGAGATGGCTCAGTGGTCTAAAGCACCTACTTGGAACAAGTTTAGCTAAAGCACAGGGACTGCGGTTCGATCCCCCAGCACCACATGCCAGCCAGCCCCGCCCCCAGGTGGGCTGAGCTGGCCACACACACACACACACACA